ATCGTGATTTATTAGCATAGGTGTATGGGATTGCAATCCCCGTGCCCTCTGGCTCGGATGGGGCGGGGATCCGTGCATCGACAAGACGGTATGCAGCTTGTGTCCAACGCGGCCCCCCACCCATCCTACAACATTTCGGACACATGTGACATAAGCGGTCCAAAAGCGCACACCCACACCATTTCTCTCAAATCAAACCCTTGGCCTCCCTAGTATACCCCTCAATACTACTGACCAATGTTCTGTCTAATCTTCTTCGGGTTACAGAAAGCCGCGGTAGTTTTAGTTTTTGCCTGCTCCGAGGACACGGGCGATGTTATTTTTTTCACGCTCGGGAGCGCTGGCACACATGACCGGCTCGCCGAAGATGTCAGAGATGAGGCTGTGGCGCTCAGTGGCTTGAATTGGGCCCCGTAGTACAAGATAAAAGATTTTCACGCTCGGGAGCGCTGGCACACATGACCGGCTCGCCGAAGATGTCAGAGATGAGGATGTGGCGCTCAGTGGCTTGAATTGGGCCCCGTAGTACAAGATAAAAGAAAAGCGTCCCAATGCACCGGCGCGCTCTCTGTTTTTTGTCTTGAGATCAAATATATTCCACAGGACAGACAACCAAGTTTTCTTAAATTCAGGGCAGCATGTGGTCGACTTGGGGCGAGTAAGCTCGAACACATAAAAGAGCCGGGTGAAATAAAGACAACCTAGAACCCGCACCTGCCAGGCCTTTCGTGTCTGCCGAGCCTGCCAAGAAGGCCCGCGCAACCTAGAAATCGAAAAGGCTTTTTTTTTCCGTGTTTTGTTTTCAGGGCTTGCCAAGAAGGTGTGGCATTTTAGACTAGGCGCCCCGGGATGGGTACTTTTTTAATGCCGTGTAGCGGTAGCTTTGTGTGACGAAACATGTTTTTAACAAATTGCAATGTCCGCTACACGCGACGGCTGCTTTATGGGCGAAAGTTTTCCCTTTGTTTTTGGGATACTTTTTGTGGGCCCAAGAGAAATGCTGATTTGTCCATGTTGCATCGACAAACCGGGCCGACATTTTTTCACACTTTCGGCGTACAACACATGAGATACACACCACCTAACGTCGAAAGTGATGTCGAAGCACGTGACAAGAGGACACGGAACCCTCGCCGGCTCATCGCTGTGTTTCGGTGCCACAAGTCAATTCCTCAGTGTAGTCTATACCACCCCCTCCCAGAAGTATCAACGGCGTTTTGCACACGTCCCAGCGCTTCCCCGCGACGGTGGAGGCATCGGCCCTGGAATTCTCCTTTCAAAACCCCGTGCCAAAACCAGCCGTCCGAAGTTGTCGGCCTCCTTGTGAACGACCGGTTTTCGGGGGAGGAAAACTCCCCGCCTTCCTAAGAAACCGTTCACCGATAAACTCAACCAAACGATAACTATACAGTCCGACTTCTCCATGCACCACAGGAATGGCGTCCTCTGGCTCCTCCGCTCCATGAAGTCGCTGGTCGCTGGTCGCTGGCCTGGTACTTAGCGCCTCCTGACCAACAGCAGGTTGAAAACAGGGCGGTCAACAGATGAAAAAATCGTTCAACCATTTTTGGACATCAGCGGGCGCTCGTGGAGCGCACTTTTCCACAAGCCTTCAAAAAAGACATTGCAATGAGCAAGGACGAAGCGGGAGTCTTGTCTCAAAACAAACCGCGAGAGCATTAGCTCCAAACTTGGAGACTTGCAGCAAATCATGCTGGACGTGGAAGATGTCCCAGCGCTCAAAACCATGGAACTCGAGCTGAGCAAGTTGTATAAGAGCATGAAAGAGGTTCTGGGTGGTCATGGACAAGCCGTGGAGAATGAAACGCTATCTGTGTCAGTAGACACGCGGGCGTGCAAGCCTAAGATTGTCGATAATTTAGAAACATACTCCGTACCCGACGATTTGTTTGCCGAATTTAGGTACAAGCCTTGAGGTTGCGTGTGATGCACACCACCAACACAAGAACTCACCGTCAGCGAAACCCAGCCCCTCGCCGTCGGCAAGCCCGTCCCCTTCGCCCCTCGCCGTCGGCAAACCCGTCCCCTTCAACCCGCCGTTCCACTTGGTTCCGATGGCCTCGGTCCCGCGGGTACAATAAGGTCGGCGGCTGGATGCGCGCCGTGCCCGGTCGAATCTGGTACGGGGGGATTGAAAATAAACAAAGGGCATGGGGAAGGCCAAGGGTGACCCTGGCAACATGAAACTGCATTGTGGGGAGCACGGGAGCTGGAGTCAATGGAAAAACCGAGTTTATCGGCGAAAGTCAGTGGAGAACTCTTGGTTTTGGGTAAAACTGTTGATCTTGGAGCTGAAGTCAGGGGAGTTTGGTGGCCGAAAGTTGGGTTAGGGTTTGTTGGACCTAAAGTCAGGGGAGCAGCCTAGCTTGAGGGGCGATCTTGGAGCTGCAGTCAGGGGAACAGTCTAGTTTGTTGGCCAAAAGGTGGTTTAGGGCTTGTTGGACCTCGAGTCAGGGGAGATTTTTTTTGTCCCGCCTCAAACACACACCACCAATACAAGAACTCACGGTCCCCTCGCCCCACGCCGTTGGCAAGCCCGTCCCCTTCAACCCGCCGTTTGCGGCTGGATGCGCGCCGCGCCCGGTCTACCTGGTATCAAAGTAGGGGCGCCTTCCTACCGGTGGGGGGGGCTGGGTTTAAACAAAAACAAAGGGCACCGGGAAGGCAAGGATGACCCCGGGAACACGGGACTGCATTGTGGGGAGCACAGGAGCTGGGGTCAGGGGAACGGCAACATTCAGCTTTAGGGGTGATCTTGGAAGTCAGGGCTAGTTTGTTGGCCAAAACGTGGTTCAGGGTTTGTTGGAGCTGAAGTTAGGGGAGATTTTTTTTTTTTGTCCCGCCTCTCACACACACCACCAAGACAAGAACTCACCGTCCTCAAAATTCAGCCTAGGTCAATCCGTACCCCCCCCAACCGCCGTTCCACTTTTGGCCTCGGTCCCGTGGGGACGATGGAGTTTGCGGCTGGATGAGCGCCGCGCCCGGTCGATTGAGATACTGGTACACACGTAGGGGCGCCTTCCTGCCGGGGGGGCTGGGTTTAAACAAAAACGGGGAAGGCAAGTATGACCCTGGCAACATGAGACTGCATTGTGGGGGACTTCTAGTTCGAACACAGGAGCTGGAGTCAGGGAAAAGGTCTAGTTTCTTCGGCAACATTCAGCGGCTAGCTTTTAGGGCTGATCTTGGGAGTCAGGGGAGCAGTCTAGGTTGTTTGGCCAAAAGGCGGTTCAGGGTTTATTGGACCTTCTGTCAGGGGAGAAGTCTAGGTTTAGGGTTTAGGGTTAGTTGGAGGGTTAGTTGGAGCTGAAGTCAGGGGAGATTTGATTTTTTCTATCCCGTCACTCGCACACACCACCAACGCAAGAACTCACTGTCCTCAAAGTCCAGCCTAGGTCAATCCGTACCACCCCCCCCAACCGCCGTTCCACTTGGCTCCGTTGGCTTCGCTCCCGCAGGGGACGATGAGGTTGGCGGCTGGATGCGCGCCGCGCCCGGGCGATTGATATACTGGTACACACGTAGGGGCGCCTTCCTGCCGGGGGGGGGCTGGATTTAAACAAAAACGGGGAAGGCGAGGATGGCCCTGGGAACATGAGGCTGACATGTAGGGAGCACGGGAATTTTGAGTCAAGGAAGCGAGTCCAGTTTTGTGTCTACTTGTGTGGGCGGAAAGTCAGATGGGAAGTCTAGGTTTGTGGAGCGATCTTTGAAGTCAGGGCAGCAGCCTATTTTGTTGGCTTAAAGGTGGTTTAGGGTTTGTTGGACCTTCAGTCAGGGTACATCTGTTTTTACTGTCCCGCCTCTCACACACACCACCAACGCAAGAACTCACCGTCAGCGAAACCAAGCCTAGGCCAGTTCATTCCACCAACCCCTTGTCCCCTTCGACCCGCCGTTCCACTTGGCTCCGTTGGCCTCGGCCCCGCGGGTACGATAAGGTCGGCAGCTGGGTGCGTGCCACGCCTGGTCGATTAAGATACTGGTACACACGTGGGGGCGGGGGTTGGGGATTAACAGGGGCTCCGGAAGGCCAAGATGACTCTGAGAACATGAGGCTGAATTGTAGGGAGCACAAGAGCTGCGGTGAATGGAAAACTCTAGTTTTGTGTTTAGTTTTGTGGGCAACATTTAGGGGAAAGTCTGGGTTTTGGGGCGATGTTGGAAGTCAGGGCAGCAGTCCAGTTTGTTGGGTTAGGGTTTGTTAGACCTTAAGTCAGGGTAGAAGTCTAGCTTTAAGGGCGATCTTTGGCGCCTTAAGTCGGGGGAGAAGCCTTTTTTCTAGGGCAGAGAAGGAGAGATCTTGGAGCTCCAACTGATTTTGGCAACTCTGGGTGCTCTTGGAGCTGATACTGATATCGTGGATAAGTCTGGATGTTTCTGCAAACATTGAAACTGAAATCCAATATCAAAGCACCAACATTGACATTTTTTGCAACCTCGAGGAAAAGGCATGCGCTGCGCCTCAAGCAGCTCTGTCAGCCGCCCGGTGTCTTCCAACCCGCGCTGGCACGGAGATCTGCCGATTCGGGGGAGATCTGCCGATTGGGACAACACAACAACAGGTGTATGTGAGAGAGAGAGAAACCAAACGAGGTAAGGTTGTACAGAGCCAAAAAAACAGCCACCGCCGCCAGCTCGATCCGTCCGGAAGAAAATCACACAAGAAGCGCACCCGCGCAACGTCGAAAACCAAATGCCTCAAACCCACCAGTGCAGTTAGATGCTAACCTGGGAAATGGGCTTGCTGGTGATCAACCTTTTCACCGAGGCAACTCGAATTCCACGTAAGAATATTAACTCAACGAACTAAACACAACAACAATGAAAAATGACACCCGCTCACCAAAATCTCTCTCGCTCTCCCCCCATTTAGACTCGCTGAACGCGACGCTGGCACCGCCGTCTCGTGCCGAGCTGCTGCCGCGCTACCTGCAGTCGGTGCTCGGGCCCATCGACGAACCCACCGGCGTCCGCCGTTGCCCTTTGGGAAAAAAACGAGCAAAGAAGGTTGAACGTGTAAGACTACGGCCTCGGCAACCCTGAGAGCATGCACACACCAGGCTGTCCACCCCCGAGTACCCGACAAAGAAAGAAGTAAACAACTTCCAACCCACGCTTGCCTTTTATTCTCATGTACCTCATCATGGAAACTGCACCGTCTCCCCAAGCCAGCCAACTGCGCCACGAAACGCCTCGTCCTCTTCCACCGTGTCACCCCCGTCTAACCTCGCCACCTTACAACTGGCTCCTTGCCTCGAAACGCGTTCCCGAAGCATGACCAACCAGTCGGCAGGGGCGTTCTGTAACAGGAGGCGCACCCGGTCGACCTCGTCCTGCGAATACTCCTCTCCCAGGATACAACCCACTGAATCAAGATCAAGACTAGATGCCGGGGTATTTCCTTCGTTGTCTGCGATGGTTTCATCGGCGCCCCATTTCAGGAGTACATCCACCACCACCCCGAAACCTGCATACTTATCAAAACAAGCAATGTTCATCGGCGTTCGCCCGTCGTTGTCTCTGGCGTCGATGGAAGCTCCGTGTCGTAGGAGAGCAAGGTAGGACGTGACACAACCGTGCTTTGCAGCAACACGTCCATCGGTGTCCTTTAGCTCGATGTCAGCACCCGCTTGAATCAAAACATCTACAGCAGCACCGGCCTGATTACATACGGCAGCCACATGCAGTGCCGAATGACCTTGCGCGTCACGAGCGTGCACGTTCGCCCCCCATCGAATAAGAATTTCAAGAAGAGGAACAATCTCTCAATGCACACGCTGACAAGCACGGTGAACTGAAGAAGAAAAAGTGGCATAGCCAGCCCCGTGGATATTAACACCGGCTCCAGTGGTTAGTAGCTTCTCAACGATGGCCAGATGGGGTTCTAAGACGCGGCACGCCAACATCAACGCGGTATAGCCATCACACATTTCATCCTCCTCCAGTTCAACAGAAAATTTACCAACCTCCCCGAGCCCTTCTCGACAGCTTGATGAAGAGGACTACGACCATCACGACTTAACATGTTGCCCGACCAAGAGCGTCTCGGGGTCCTCACTAACACATCAGCTCCATGCAAGATCAAATCCTCCGCAAGCTGCTCGTGGCCCCCCCTGATTGCCAGGTGGAGTAATGTGCAACCGCTTTCGGGGTTTTTGAAGTTGACGTCAGCGCCGTGTGTGATGAAACGTCGGGCAACAGCCTCGTGGCCGCATTCGACCGCCACGAATAGTGCCGATAGACTCTCGGGAGGCGCCGTCAGCGCGTTCACGTCCGGTTCCGCCCCTGCCTTGATCAACGAACCCAACACACCTTCGTTTCCACCTGCAGCAGCTGCATGAAGTAGCGTGCGACCATCGGAAGAGCTCCACCCGGCCTTGTAGTTGGCTCCTGCCTCGATGATCTTGTCGACAAGACCCAGGTTGCCTTCCTCAGAGGCATGGAAGAGCGGCAACCGAAGCCACTCCGCCCTCTGCTCGGAAGTTGCCCTCTGGGAACCCCAGCTCCTCAGGGGACGAGCCCTCGGGGTAGGTACCCTCATCTGTTGAATTTTGAACAAACGCATCGGTTGAATTTTGAACAGGTATCGTGGATTGTAGGATCCGGACTGCGGCTCATCGGAACTGGTACACATACGCGAAAATACACAGTTTGCCACGAGAGACGACAAGTCACTGGGTCTCAGGTTTCACCTCAAACAAGCAGAAAGCGCGCTTTTGGCGTGTACGAGCGAGGCAGCGAGGCCGACGTGGCCAGTCAAACATTCAAACTCACCGTTAGACTCGCCACTCTGGGTTTGCCCTCCCCACGCCCCGTCACTAGGCGTGTTGGCCACAGAGCTAGAACCACTTCCAGCAGGGGCGGCGGCCGCTGATCCGTCGTCCTCGCTCATGAGTTCCTCGTGTAAGCAAGGCAGCGTAACCTACAGGCCCTCTCTCTCTCTGTGTGACGAGGAAGGGACGACGAACGCGGGCAAATCGGTAAGACGCGGATTCTCCAGTTAAAACATCAAGCGGCGGAGCGTGAGGCGATCCCGGCGTGGATCTGGTGTGCTGCGGTTGCTCACGGTAGCCGGCGGTGCTCAACATGTCATGAGTTCATGAGTGACGTCGCCATGGTGGATGAAAGCACACTTGTCCATGAATGGTCTAACGCTCTGTAGAGTTGTGAATCGGAACGATGTACACGATATATATCGTCCGATATATATCGATATCGGTATCGAAAATTCGTGCCGATGTTCCGACCGATGTTTTCTTAGGGGCTCCGTGAATCAAATTTAGGGTATGCGCAGCAGTACGGAGCCCCTGTACGCCACACACACACAGCACAGCAGCGCAGAAACAGCAGACAACAGCACCATGTCCAGAACCAACCGGGAAGTAGACACAGGGAGAGACCGAAGGAGGGTACTGCTGAGGATACGCGACAATACATCAATCTTAATCTTTTTTTTTTTTTTCTACATTCCGTGCGATGTTTGCAGCTGAAGTCAAGCCCTTTTTGATGCCGCATTTGGGCCCATTTTGACGGGAAATGAAAGGAAAATGCACCAAATTTTCTGCCTCCGGCGGCGCCTCCGGCGAGGCCCCCTCACCAGCCGGGGGGGGCCGATGGGGGGGCTCGCTTCGCTCGCCCCCATCACGGCTCGCTGCGCTCGCCCGATATATCGGAGAAAATATCGTTATATCGGCTGCGCAGCAGCCGATGTAAAATATATCGTTTTTCGTACCGATTCACAACTCTAACGCTCTGATATTTCGTTTAATTCCTCCGCTACAAACAGGTGCGTGCGTGAAACGAGTTGTCTGCCAATGTCCCTACACCAGATGTCCTATGGAGGAGAAGAGGATGTTCACAACTTGGGTAACGACACAGCCCGCAAGCGGGCGACCGTCGCTTGATTTTTGACAGCATCCACGCATGAACATGCCCCTCGCCTTTGTAGCCTTTCACGTAGACAGTTGGATGCATGGCCTGAGCTGAGAGCCCTGTGCATCACCAGCGCTCGTTCCTGCAAGTTGAGCCTCCAACTACCCCTTTCCCCAGAAACGCTTCTTTCCCAAGAGCAGTGCGCGCGGCTGATGGGATGGCAGAGAAATGTGCGCTGGGGTGGTGCTAGTCTTCTTCACTCCGAGAGTTCTGGCCTTCACGTCTAGAACATCACGCTGCGTGTTTTCCAGAAGTCTTCTTGTCCACCTGAAAAACCTGAAAACTTGAAAAAAGTGGGTACGCACCAACATGCGAAGAAATTACGGGGCCACCAATCCGCACTTTTCCCCCTCCACATTTCAGACCCACACTCCATCTTCAGTTCGACACACACCGCACGCAACCAACACAAGTGTGTGTGCCCTATGTTAGTAACGCCGGGTTCCAACATCGCCGTGGATTTTGATAGCTCCTGTGCCTTCGTATCGAGCGTGCCCGCAGGCGAGGAGAGCGGAAAATTTCTTCCAGACCGTCATTGCCACAGCCTGCTTCGTGGTCCCGCATATGTAAAGTGTGCGGCGCGTGGCGCACAGCGGACGAGAAAGGTGAGCTCCCCTTCGAGATGAGGTCTGCGCCTGGCCTGACAAGCTTGTTTTGATGCTTGCCCACCTTTTTGTTTTATTTTATCCGCTGAAGTTGGCGTTCCTCTGCGCAACCCTTCTTTCTGGAGCCGAAATCTCATTTTAGCCGCTCCGGCGTCCCGCTGCTCTTTCGCTGAAGCGTGCGCTTCAGGGTGAAAGTTTCGGGTAAGGGTGGACCTAGTTGAGCATAGGCAGATGCCTTATTGTAGGGTTGGTGCTGCCTCAACATGGGTTTGTCTGGCACGAGTTTCCACACATATATTCCACACGCCGATTTTCAGCAGCATTGGAAGAGTCGTCCCATCCACTTCAGTTGTTGGCGTCCTCAGCTCGCCCTTCTCCAATCTTGGTTTCGTTTGATAGGTCCCTCTTCTATGCTCTCACAGTACGCAGGAGCCAAAGAGGCAAGCGTGCTTGTTGTACCCAAGGACACACAGCTAGCTTAATGTCGTGCAGTCTCAAAATTTGATGCTCACAGAGTCGCTCGAGTATCGGTGAAATCGCCGTGTCTCATAGCTCATAGGAACATTCGCAGCTGAAATATTTGTGTGCTCTCCATCTTTGTGTCTTCAAAAACTTTGTCGCACAGTTGGCGAGTCTTCCCTCTCGCTGAAGGCTCCAACTTCTTCCGGGACTGCTCCGTCAACCAGGTGCTTTCTACGTGTCCACGGCACCAATGGCAGCCCGAGCTCCCTCCCATGGTAGCAGTGTTCAAGCGGGTACTTCTACGGTGCCGACAACGCCAGAGGTGGGTTCTTCGTAGTTCATGTTTGGACTTGCCCTCCGTTTGTATTGCCGTTCCAGTACCGCCGCGGATGCAGCCGATCATGTCAAACTTCTCACAAGTATAATATATATATCGAAACAACGCTCGTTTCCCGCAGAGGCTTGAGGAGGTCGAGACGCTTCTCGCGAACAAGAAGCCATGGCCTGCGTTTCTCCGCGCCGCAGTGGAGACCCGCGGTGAGTGGGACGACTGCCCGGAGGGTGCCACGGATGCGCTGGAATGGATGGCTTCAACCGCCGTGGGCTTGCTGGATATTGCGAGTGTTGGCCCTCTCATACCTGTCTGCAAGGCGTTCACGGCTCTCATCGAGGCCGCACAAGGCGCTACGGAGGTAGTCGAGAATCTGCGGGAATTGGTCACTTGGTGCGCGTTCCTCGTCGGTGTGTTCATCGAGCACGGCAAGCAAGTGGACAATCTACAGAAGATCGCCAAGCCGCTGAACGAGCTCGTGTCGACCACGGGCGAGCTGGCGAAACGTGCGAAGGTCGTTGCGGGGAGAGGCAAGTGTACGGCGCTTTTTTGCCACAAGAAGGACGCCAAAACCATCGCCAGCTTCGACGCCAAACTTCGTCGCCTTTGGACCGACATCAGGGGGCTCGCCATTCTGGACATCCAGCAGATTGTGATCAGGCTGGAGGAGCGCTCGCGGCCTGTCCCTGTACCAGGCATGGCCGACGTCCCTGCTGCGGCGCTGAAGCTGCCGCCTAGCCACGTGAAGCGCGTTGGGTTAGAGGCCGAGATCGTCAATAGCCTGACGGCTACCGACGCGTCCGGTGCTCCGCATGTACTGGTGGGCATGGGGTGAGCGGGCAAGTCTTTGCTGGCATCTTCTGTTGTTCGGACCGAGGAGGTTCGGAAGCACTTTCGAGCAGGCATTTCCTGGCTGAGGGTGGGGCGGGTGGGTGAGGACCAGCTTCAAGCCCTCTTTGAGGCTTTAACACGGGGAGCATTCCCCGCGGCCAAGCTCCCGCCACGGTTCAACAGCCCGGAGGAAATCATCCAGTACTTGACTGTCCTCGTTGCAGAGGACAAGCTGCCTCGCCTGGTGGTCCTGGATGATGTATGGGAACGTGCGGTCGTGGACACCTTGCGACCCACGGGGCTCCGACTGCTCGTGACCACCCGTCTGGATTCGGTGGTGGCGATGAGAGGAGGACGCACGACCGTTGGGAACATGGACGGGGGTGAGGCCCGAGAGCTGCTGAAGAGCAGGAGTGGTGCCATTGCACTTCCGAAGACGGAGGCTGACCAGGTGTGTTTATGCTGTTGCTGTTACCAGTCGGTAGCGGTAGGTATTTTTCACATTTTTAAAAGTGTCCGCAACTTTTCTAGTTATCCCCATCATCTCATCAGCTGTTCACGTTTGTGTTTCTGTGCCATCGCAGGTCGCCGCGGCCTGTGGGTGGCACGCGCTGACCCTTGCCATCGCGGGATCGCTGCGGTTTGTCAAGGATGACCCAAACTCTGCTTCAACATGGCGCCGACTAGCCTCGGAGATGACGCAAACGAAGAACTCAGTCCGAGGCCCGAAGATGGACGCGGACATCGGTGACGACCCGACCAAGAAATCGTTGTTCCCCGTCCTGGAGCTGAGCTTGGAGTCTCTCGGTGGAGATAGGGAACGCCTGTTCCTCAGCTTGCTTGTGCTCGCCCGTGGCGTCTCGGCTCCGGCCCCTATGCTGGCCAGCATCTGGGATAAGGTGAGCCTTTGCGTGATCAAGTGTGCAATATAGCTGAAAAGGTATGAGTTAGCCGCCACCAAGGAACAGGTATGTAGGTCGAAAAAAAATCGCTAGATAATCAGGGAATAACGTTGTCTCTGCGGAGTTCCCCTCGAAACCCCCATCGCCCAGAGTAGAAGCTTTTCTTTCTTCTCCGTGGGGTTTACTTTTTCAACTTCCTTATTTGAGGCACACAGGGTTTTTTTTGACGCGTTGGCCCCAGGGTGGTAACTTGTCGGCCATGGGCGGCACTCGCTTTACGCCGAATGCAGCGTGTGTGGTTAAGAGTGGTATTCAGTTGACTCGTTGGTTGCCGTGTTCCGATCACCGGGTTCCGGACGAAGGACCTGCTTCTATGTTTCCCCTACTTTCTTTTCCATTTTGTGTAACAACTTCGATTTGGGGAGAAACGATACCCATGAATTTCCTTCGAGCTTTCAAGCGTAACGAACTATTCTATTCGAACCTTTTCAGGACGACATGGGTGCCAGGAACGAAGCTGACTTCTTCGTGAGCAACTCTCTTCTGCAAGAGGTGGATAGCTCCTTTCGCCTGCACGACCTTCTGCTGGACTTCGTTCGGACTAGGTGCGAAAAGAAGATCATCGACGAGGCCGTGAAACGCCAAAGCCAGTACCTGGGCAGGCTGGCTGTGCTCCAGGACTACGAAGCGAAGGGTGACTCCCTTGAAGGCTTCTACTCCCTCATCGTCCTGTGGCGAAAACTGGCAGAGCTTTGTGGCAAGCAGTTGGAGGTGGAAGTCTACCACGCCAGTCTCGGGAAGCTCGGCGACGACGTATCAACCGGCGCGTCGGACGCTTTCTCGGCTGTGGGGAGATTGCATGAACTCGAGGTAGGCTCGGGCCTCAAGGTCTTTGTGGTTTGGAGGTGGATTTGAAGCATTTGAAGTCGAAGGATATTTCTCAGGGCTCTCGCGAACAGGAGCCAAGTGAACCTCACTCGTGGAAAGTTGTGATGGGGTGTATCAGTATTCACCAACGCGTAGCTGGCGGCGCGGGAAGAGAGAGCCTCGTCGATTGCGTGTGTTGTTGGACCGGGCAGGCAAGGTACTTTGTGGTAGCATGTTGAACGTTTCCGCGCTCGAAATTTTGAGACGGGGGAATGTTTGCGCTGACACACACTTTCGTCATTGAGACTCATCAACCGCGCGGGTTGAGGTGTGGGCACTTTTTTTCGTTCCGCGTGTTGTTGAGAATGTGGTGCTTTGAACGATGCTCGCCTTGGTCACGCACAGACTCACCTTTCTGTTTCCTTCCAGGGCAAGTTAAATGAGGCCGGCCCGCTGTACGATAGGGCCATCAGGATTTGGGAGGCGGCTCTTGGGCCCGAACAATCGCAAGTGGCTACAGGGCTCAACAACCGGGCGGTGTTGTAGAGAAAAAGTTACTCCACAGGTCTATATCCAAGGTTGTCTCAATTTAACCCTCTCATCATATCCCCCTCATTTCAGGGCAACTTCGCCGAGGCCGACCCCTTCAATCTTCGCGCCATTGAGATTGGGGAGAAAGTATTGGGCCCCGAACATCCAGATCTTGCCGTATGGCTTAACAACCGGGCGGAGTTGTTGAGAGCACAGGTGAGAGTCGACAGAAAAACACGGGACTTTTTCTCGCGGTGTTCATCTGATGTTGCAGTTGCTCAACAACCCTAGGACGGGGTTGTTGAAGGCCCAGGTGAGAGCCGCCAGAAGGTTCCAGGAAAGTTCTTGAAGTGCTCAATTAAATTTACAGTCGCTCAACAACAGGGCGGAGTTGTTGAGAGCGCAGGTGAGAGCCCCTAGAATTTTCTAGGAATTTTCGTAGGGTTTGCATTTGTCGATGAATCTGTTTAGTTTTTGCAGAACCGCTCTCTCAAATATCCCACTGCCTGCTATGCAGGGCAAGTACGACGACGCTGAACCGCTGAATGAGCGGTCACAGACCATCCGAGAGAAGGTGCTGGGTCCGGAGCATCCGGATGTTGCTCAGTCGCTCAACAACAGGGGGTTGTTGAGCAATTGTTCGCCCGTTGTCAATCCCCGCTAGCATTGACCACACTTCTGACATACTTGCCTTTCACGTCTCAGGGTAAGTTCGCCGAGGCCGAGCCCCTGTACAGGCGGGCGACCGAGATTTGGGAGACAGCTTTGGGTCCCGAGCACCCACAAATGGCAACAGCGCTCAACAACCGGGCGGGGTTGTTGAGCAATGTTCCTCCGCATTCATTGTCTTCATTCCATTCCTCTAATACCCATCATGTTTTCATCACGTTCCAGGGCAAGTACGAGGAAGCTGGGCCGCTGTATGAACGTTCCCTTGCCATCCGCGAGAAAGTGTTAGGACCTGACCATCCGGATGTAGCCCAGTCGCTCAACAACCGGGCGCTGTTGTTGGACAGTCAGGTGAGAGCCATACGAATTCCAGGAAGTTTCTTGTGGTACCCGATAGACTCAGAAGTGCTCAACAACAGGGCGGGGTTGTTGAGCATTTGTTCCTCCGCATTGAAGTATCTACTGGCTTTGACAACACTTGTTCCTGTCGTGCCTTTCCTTCATGTTTCAGGGCAAGTACGACCAAGCCGGGCCGCTTTATGACCGTTCCCTTGCCATTCTTGAGAAAGTACACGGGCCTGATCATCCTGCGGTGGCATCAACGCTCAACAACCGGGCGGCGTTGTTGCAGGCACAGGTGAGAGCCGTCAGAATTCTAGAGGAAATTTCTTGTGGTACCCAACAGATTTTGTAGGTGCTCAACAGCAGGGCGTATTGTTGAGCAGTTGTTCGTCCGCATTAATATCTACAACTCGACACTGACTCCCTCGCTGTTTGTGGCATACCCCAGGGCAACTACGACGAAGCCGGGAAGTTGTATGAACGTTCTCTTGCCATCCGCGAGAAAGCACTAGGGCCTGACCACCCGAACGTGGCCCAGTCGCTCAACAACTGGGCGGGGTTGTTGAGCATTTGGTTCTCTGCATTAAGTATCTACTAGCTTTGACAACACTTCTTCGTGTCGTGCCTTTCCTTCATGTTTCAGGGCAAGTACGACCAAGCCGAGCCTTTATTCAAGCGCTCGCTAGCTATCGATGAGAAAGTGTACGGTCCTGATCATCCGGAAGTCGCTACAGATCTCAACAACTGGGCGGNTGCCACGCCGTCGACCGTGTTTCAGGGCAAGTACGAGGAAGCCGTTCCTCCGCTGTTGTAGAACAGTCCCCAACTAAAACTTTTACTCTATTGCGCTGTCAACTGCATCAAGGGCAAGTACACCGACGCTGAGCCGCTCTACGAGCGATGTCAGGCGATATACGAAAAGCGTCTCGGTCCTGAGCATCCCTATGTGGCCACAACGCTCAACAACCGGGCGGGGTTGTTGGAGGCACAGGTGAGAGCCAAACGATGTTTCCAGATGCTTCTAGAAGGGAATCTAGAAAGGAATGTTTTTTCCCAGTTCTAGATCCGGCTTGTATTGAACAATGACCCTGCCACGCCGTCGACCGTGTTTCAGGGCAAGTACGAGGAAGCCGACCCTCTCTATCTGCGAGCTGTTGAGATTGGGGAGAAGACTCTAGGCCCTGACCACCCAGATCTTGCCACGAGTCTCAACAACCGGGCGGGGNGTGAGAGGACGCAGGAGATCTTTGAGAAGTCCTTGGGACAGGATCATCCCGCTGTCGCCACGATTCTCAACAACAGGGCGGGGTTGTTGAGCAAGCAGGTGAGAGCCTTGGAGAAATTTCCAGGAATATTTTTGTGGTGGTCGGTGGGGTGTTCTAGGTGCTCAACAACCGGGCGGGGTTGTTGAGCGCGCAGGTGAGAGCCCAGGGATTTTTCGGGGATTTTTCTCGCGGTTCTCTGCCAACAATAACAGTATTGCAAAGACTCCCAACTATTACTTCGAACCCGAAATTTTCTCGACAGGGCAACTACGCCGAGGCTGTGCCTCTGAACGAACGAGCGACGGAGATTTGGATCAAAGCCTTAGGTCCTGAGCACCCGCAAGTGGCAACAGCGCTCAACAACCGGGCGGGGTTGTTGAAAGCACAGGTGAGAGCCGTCAGAAAATTCCACGAATAGACTTGTGGCGCAAAATTTTCTCGCGGTACTTGGCCTTTCGTTGGCCACGCGCTCACGCCATCATATTGCTTGTTTTTCAGGGCAAGCTCCCGGAAGCTGAGCGGTTGTATGAGAGGACGCAGGAGATCTTTGAGAAGTCCTTGGGGCAGGATCATCCCAATGTCGCCACGATTCTCAACAACAGGGCGGGGTTGTTGTACAAGCAGGTGAGAGTGGTCAGCATATTCCGGGAAATATCTTGTGGCGCCCGGTCTCTGTTGCAGTTGCTCAAGAACTGGGGCGGTGTTGTTGAGCATACATTTGTTCCTCCGCCGTTTGCTTTTTAGCCGATAGCGACCCCACCATCCCCCCCTCTCAACACACTACACACATTACAGGGCGAGTTAGACAAGGCAGACGCTTTGTTTGTTCGAGTTCTGGAGATTTTGGGCGCAACCGTAGGCGAAGAACACCCGAACTATGCTTCAGCGCTCAACAACCGGGCGGGGTTGTTGAGCATTTGTTCCTCCGCATTGAAGTATCTACTGGCTTTGACAACACTTGTTCCTGTCGTGCCTTTCCTTCATGTTTCAGGGCAAGTACGACCAAGCCGGGCCGCTTTATGACCGTTCCCTTGCCATTCTTGAGAAAGTACACGGGCCTGATCATCCTGCGGTGGCATCAACGCTCAACAACCGGGCGGCGTTGTTGAGAGCACAGGTGAGAGCCGTCAGAATTTGCCAGGAATTTTCTCGTGATGCTAAATAGATTTTGGACGTGCTTCAACAACCGGGCGTGTTGTAGAGAAATGTTGTTCCACAACAAAAATGTTTATACATACTCCTACAGCACGTGTGACCCTGCCGTCTTGTTCATCCTGCTTCTAGGGCGAATACGCCAAAGCCATGCCCCTGAATGAGCGGACCACGGAGATTTGCGTGAAAGCCTCGGGTCCTGAGCACCCGACCGTGACAACCGGTAGAGTTTCAGGAACAACCCAATTTTTCACGCAAGGCTTCACTTTTTTTGCTCTCATCGCGCGCTCACGCCGACTGCTGCTTGCTTTACGCCTCTCTGACCCCATGTCAAACTTTTTCAGAAGAGGTACGAGGAAGCCATTTCGTCGTTCGAACGATCCCTCTCAATCCGCACGAAGAAGCTTGGGGCAGACCACCCACAAACGGTCGCGACTCGGAACTGGCTGGAATCCGTGCGAAAGAAGGTTCGTGCACGGTTCAGCCGGCGAAGTCTATGAGCGTCATGTGTAATACATTAAAAGCGAAGGAAACACTCATGTTACTCGTTCACGAAGTAAATAGGCGTCATGCGCATCGTCATTGTGCGTCCTGTTACTCGTTCACCCGTCGTGTAGAGGATCTATTTTGATTTTTCCCGATTTGGAAAATTCTTCGTCCCCTCATCTCAGGTGTGAACACGAGACCGGAGCGGCATGCGAGATTTGTGCAGCACAGCGATGAGCAGCGTCAGGCGCAACGGGACGTTGCTTGTGTTACCCAGGTCCACCGTGACGGCGATTTTAAGATCAAATTTGTCACTCACAGGTTTTGCTATTGATGGCGTCGTCGATGATGCTTTTGCCCGTACTGTTGCACTGGACTAGGATCTATGGCCTAGCGGAGTGGCCCGTCGACGGTCAGCTTCGGACCGGTTGCCACGTTCCTGAATCTGAAATTTAATTCCTAATTTCAGGGTCTTCATCCATCGGTTTGGTACACAACACTGTTCCGTAGAAGAGCACCCTGCGGGTTGCAAACATTCAACAATTCTTTCACCTATGCGCACCTACAGGGCGTTCCAATGCATTACGTGGTCTATAGGGGGTGTGTTAGGTGTGTCGCAGCGAAGTTCGGGGAGCCGGTGTGTTCAATTGGCCAACCAAAGAGTCCAATTTTCAAAAATTCAAATTATGCGACGAAGGTAGACGAAGGTACGGTAGGCCACGCCACAGTGAAGCTCTGGAAACAACCAACTAGCACACACAAGGAGGCGAAAAGCGGCCGGTCTCGTGCCGCGGGATACAATATGCGCGCACCGTCGCCAGATAAGTTTTCGAAAAATGCGCGTACAGTGGGCTACCATGGTTGAAAGAAATGAGCACGTAACCACAAGTAGAGAACATCTCATACCTACAGAGATCTCTAAGCTAGTCCTGCTACGCTCTCCTGCCGTGGGTTACGATGTCCGCGCTGCGCCTGAGGGAGGAAGTGGGGCGTGAGAGGCAAATTTTGGTGCAGAGGGGACTTCGCACATGGGAATGGTTCCCCGAGATAGCAGTGAGACTTAATTTGAACAAAGGATGTCATAGCTTACCAGCGGTAGGGGGAGTGGGATTAGCCTCAGGAGCCTCCGACACGTCCATGGCGTCCGGGCCCTCCAGAGTGTCCTCGTCCGGCCCACCGCCAGGGGAATCAGCTGAAGACGGTGCACTCGGTGCGGAATCAGTGGAAGACGCGGAGCTCTCGACAGAATCGTCTGAAGGCATGGGAGCGACCCCGCAGTCGACGCCACGGCCACCACCACGGCCACGGCCACCGCCCCCACCAGACTTGCGTTTGCCGCCACGGCCACGGCCACCGCCACCGCCCCGGGAATTGGTACCACCACGAACAGGTTCAACCCCCTCTTGACACTTTGGGCAAAACCACTGAGACCGAAACGCACCGGAAGAAAAAGACGATAGGAATATATTTGGTCAGCATGGTCGTTGCTGTAGACTCGGCAGGTTGGTCGGGGAGATGCAGAATCGCTAATTCTATATGGGGCGACCTTCTCAATATATGTTCCGACACTAAATTCACTCACAGCTCCCCCTGGTTTCCTCTTCAATCCGGCGCATTTGACGTGGTAGATGTTGTCGCACGTTGCACCGTCTCCAATGGGCCTGTCGCAGAGTAGAGTTTGCAATGTTGTCGTTTTTGCCGCACGCAAGACACGGGCGTTCGTCCAGCTCCCGCTGGAGTCGTTCCTCCTCCACCTTCCGCTCGTGCTTGCGTATCGCCTCGTCCCACTCCTCCCGTATGCGGGAGATTTCATCGGCCACGCGCTCTTCGGTCCATCCCGGTACAACACCGATTAGGCTTCGCCAGTATTCCACCAACTTCTCGAAATATGCGGGACTTCTTTCCTGGCGGTCAGCCGCGGAGACTAGACCCCTGTCTGGGGCCTTTTGCGTTTCGCCTAGACCGCGGCTTAACACTCGAAGCAGGTGCACTCGTCGTCCCCACGGTCACCGGAGCCTCCGACACGTCCATGGCGTCCGGGGCATCTGTAGTGTCAGATTCAACCGTAGCTTCCGCGACGACCGGAGCCCCGGGAGTCCCCACCCTTACTGGAGTCTCCTGAGCAGCAGCCCCCGACACGTCCATGGCGTCCGGGCCCTCCGGAGTGTTCCCGTCCGGCCCACCGCCCGGGGAATCGGGCGAAGACGGGACGCTAGACGCGGAATCAGTGGAAGACGTGGAGCTCCCCACAGAATCGGCTGAAGACGGCGCGCTCGGAACGGAATCGGTGGAAGACGTGGAGCTCTCAGTGGAATCGGCTGAAGACGGGGAGCTCTCGGTGGAATTGGCTGAAGGCGTGGTGCTCGACGCGGAAGCGGACGGGAAAGCACCGCCGAACGCGGGTGCCTGAACGGTCCAGACGAGAGGGATGGGTGACAGGTTAGGTAACGAAAACACGCACGTGGAGTGTCGCACGAGCCGCGCCTTAGTGTATGCCTGTACGCTTTCGGGGCAACGTCAAACCACACACCTCTGAGTCTAAGGAAGCGATGACTCTTGGACCGGGTGTGCGGGCGCTGGTGGGGGCAAGATCAACAACCTAACTATCACCAAATGTAAAGTCGAAACGCACACACACCTTTCCGTCCCCTAGCCCCGCATCCACCGAGGCCCCGTGAGTCTCCGACACGTCCGTAGCGTCTTGGACCTCCGGAGCTGGCGGAGGCAAACCTGCGTCCGCCGTCGCTCCCCCACCCAAAGGTGCCCCCGAATCGTCACTGTCCCCGCCTCCCCTGATGCTCCGCAGCCTACGGTAGATGTCGCGGAAGCGAGAGGCACGGCTGCGCGTGAGCGACGTGCGTCCGCGGGGGCACTTGCGAATGCCGCGAGTTTTGTGGACCTTCTTCCCGGATCCGGTGCGGCGAGGGATGCGACGGGCGAACTCGATCACGGCGGCCACGAACGCGCCGTCGTTCATTCCAGTGCCGTCGTCCACGGAGTCGTCGGCGGGGCGGTTTAGCGCCTGCAGGCAGAACTCCATGACTGAGACCGGGTCGTTTCCCGTGGAAGCCTCGGTGCCGGCATCGTGAGCAATGGGGACCATGGCCTCGAAGTGATTCCCCCTCGACCACAGAACTGCGGCCACATTGTCGGTAGGCTCCACCGCATCATTGGGGTTGAATTTATCCACCAAGCCGACTTCGCGAACCTCGTACACGATCCTCACGTCTGGGATCCCGAAGATGCGACCCAGCACCAAGATTGCGATGCCGGCGATGTAGCTCCCCTCCTCGAGGATGGCCACTTCCCACTCGGCCCGAGATGCGAGCTCCGCCGTGGGGGATTTGCCCGAGCCGGCCGAGCCGGTCGAGCCGGAATCTTTCCCGTTCGTTAAGAAAACCGCCAATTCCGGGCAGCCACGAAAACGAAGGTAGTCCACGACGCGCCGGCGGCACGCCATCAGCAGCTCACGCATTTCTTGCGTACCAGCGGCGCGACGGATCACCCCCTCGGCTTCCGACGCGGACATGCCGCGCTTCTTCACCAACAGTAGCTGCAGCATGCCGTAGAGCCCGCACGAACCGTCCGCGGGGTTGGCGATGACCGTCCACACATTCCTCCACGACGGCGCCTTCGCCTTGCACCTGCTCGAGTGGCCCTTCCCGCGTCCCTTCCTTCCGTGTCCCCGTGCCATGTTTCACCTGCCATAAAACGTAGGGGGGGTAGGGGTGGTGAATGTGAGCGATGCATCAAGCGAGAACAAAGAAGTGGGGAGGGATGTGTGTAGAAAAATGTTGTAGATTATGCGTTCGGTTGAACTGACATGGCACAATCGAAAATATTTTCGGGGTAGCTGCTGTGTCATAATTTTCTAGATAGTGTAGGCAACTGAGGCGATATGGCACAATCTAAAACATTTAGCATGTAGCCGGTCGCTGTGTCAAAATATGCTAGATTGTGCAAGCAACTGAAGTGACATGACACAATCTAAAACATTTTGCGTGTAGCCGGCCGCTGTGTCATAATATGCTAGATTGTGCAAGCAACAGTTGAACTGGCACGGCACAATCTAAAACATTTTCCATGTAGCCACTGCAGCAAGGACCAAAGGGTTGAAGGGTGTGAGTGATGTATCACCAGGAGTGGGCCAGTGGGGGCCGTGGCTTTGTTTCAGTTCCATGAAAAAATTCAGTTCCTGAAATCGCCGACAGGGTGTGGGTGACACATGACTACGGGTGAGCTAGGGAGAAGGAGGGAGGGGTGTAGCCGCTATGGGAGAGGAGTGGGGTGTAGCTGCTGTGGCAAGGACCAGGGAGTAGGGGTTGTGAGTTATGTATCACTAGGAGTGGGCCAGTGGGGGCCGTGGCTTTGTTTCAGTTCCGTGTAAAATTTCAGTTCCTGGCATCACCGACAGGGTGTGGGTGACACATGAGTATGGGTTAGCTAGGGAGAGAGGGAGAGGGGGTGTAGCTGCTGTAGGGAGAGGAGTGGGGTGTAGCCGCTGTTGCAAGGACCAGAGGGTTGGAGGTGTGAGTGATGTATCACCAAGAGTGGGCCGGCGGGGGGTGGTGGTGTCGTGACCGCTCCAAACGTAACTTCAATTTTAGGAACTGAACTCGCCGAAACGACATAATGAGCCACTCAGATGATGAATAATGTGTGGCACAAGGTGTTAGATTGTTCCAGTTCCGGAATTGAAAATAATTCAGACGGCTAAATACCGTGGACCCGAGCGAGCACCGTGGCAAAATTCACGGCGGCATCTCGACGGCTATCCAATAAATGCAGGCCAATAACGCCGCCAGGCGCAACGGTAGGTTTCCGGTCATTCCACACGTACTGCACTCGAGTCTTGATATGGCGACATGACCTCACCCTCTACGTCTTCGCCAGCAGTGCATCAAGGAGTAACAAGTGTTGTCAACACAAGTTCGTCGTTTTGTTGCGTTCGTTGCCCTTGAAACGTCTTCGCCAGCAGTGCATCAAGGAGTAACAAGTGTTGTCAACACAAGTTCGTCGTTTTGTTGCGTTCGTTGCCCTTGAGAGAGAGAGAGAGAGAAAGAGAGAGAGAGAGAGGAAGAATCAAAGACGAGGAGGCAGAAGCAGCCGCGGCAGCACAAGGGTCCGCTCGTGTGTGGCATTTTCCGCTATCGGTGCTTCATCCCCGCAACATGTTGATATTCACTCCCGGGGATATCTACGCGGAACAGCAGCTGCTGGTGACGATTGAAACGAAAGCTATACCGCTTGGATTGCTCATGAAAATCAACCACTGGCGGCCGCTCAGATACTTCCTCGCCTTGAGAGGAAGTTGGCTGGCGCTGCAAGTCCTGGAAATCGAGGGTCGAGAGATGATCCATGTGCAGGAGGCAGTACAGGGAACGTATGTTGCGCGCACATAACCATGCGATCAAGAAAATCGTCCTTCTAGCCTACACAAAATACGTTCCTTGACATCAACCCTTTTCCATGGTGACGATCTGACACGCAACGACATGGCGTGTGAATCCGGTGCATTCATATTCACTTTCAGTGTAGCAGTGAAAATGCTGCCCACCACCATGAAAACTAGAGACCCACCCATGGTCCATTGTTTCAATAATGCGTCACAGGGAACTCCCGGCATTCGTTGTCGACGACAACATGTGTGTGTGCTGCAGCTTTCCATCTAGATCCGACATCAATATCAATAGTCTATTGTCTTAGGTTCTGTAGACTATGTATTGATACACTCATCCTTCGCCAGTGCCAACGGGTCCGGACATATGCTCGCCCACACTATTGCCTTACTACGTGGGCACAGGCTAACTACCCAACTACCCTGGAGGGTGACTGATACCAGTACTCGTCAAATACCTCTACCCTAAGACGAACATTGACCTATCGTAGGCTACCGCGGCAGTACAAACTTCAAGTCTGAGTAGACAAGCCAACAAACAACCCATGTTTGATCAAGTTCGATTGACAAAAATAAACGAGGGGAAGTGAAGGTTCTGTCATGACCCATTGTCAACAACAAAATGACCTGAGCGGCTTCCGTCGTTATGCCTCAATTGCTGTGAACAACTGTGTACTATGTGCAAAAGTCATGTAGTCCATGCTTAGTCTTGAGGTAGAGTTGGAGCCAATCCTGGGTCGCTTGTGAGAACACTACTTTCTCATGAGACTAGTCTAGCCCTTTAGATCTACTTGAAGACAAATGTACAAAATTGTATCGATATATATAAGTATATATATCCGATCTCGTGCCTGTCGTGACAAGCAAGCCTGAACAACCGTATGTACGTGGATGATATCCCAGTTACTCGCTTGCATACAAATAGTGGATCTCGTGGAAAAGTTGGAGGTAGAAACGGCTGTCGGGCTGTCCGGCAGTCGAAAATGGCCTCCTTGCCCTGTACACGTTTGGCAGATGCGTCGCCACCTTCCCTCTCCACGTTCGGTGGCGCCACGATTATCTCATCGGGCCGCGAGGTATGGCGGTTTCTTGGCATTCCCATTCCCTCTCCACGAGCAACAAGCAAGAGGCGGTACGACCCACGACACATGTGTGCTACGAGCACATACATGTTCATTTCCCCGAACAACGAAACAGTCACCCAAAGCTCATCCCCGTGACTTGGGGGTTCCATGTGTCGAGCGGCGCGTGCTTCAAGCATACTTGCTGTGGGTGTACTCGGGTACCAAGAACAACCGCCATCCCTCACCTGGGAGATGTGGGATTGTGTCCGTGGGGAGTCCTTTGCAGCACCGAGACACTCACTCGCGAGTAGATATGGCCGGCTGTGTGGGTTCCACGCAGTGTTGGAGACCGGCGGCAAACTATTTATTGTTCCAAATAATATGTGAAAACAAACCCTAACCCCAACCCTAATTGCCGGTCGCCCCGGTGGTCTAGTTGGTATCCTCGAAATCTTCTAGGGGTCAGGTCAGGGCTCGAATCCCGGCGTATGCGAGCTTTCTTGCAAAGAGTGAGTTGTTCTCTCGCTTCCGCTCCTGGTCTTGTGGATATAGCGCTACAGTAGTTCGTGTGTAGACGGAGGGAAAAGAGTGCTGCACTCTTCTCGCATTAAAAATTGAAGGCGACGTACCGCAGGAGGGGAGGGTAGAGAGGGGTCCTTCTGTGTGACCACGGGTCGGAGTACACGGCACTGGTGCTGTGAGCGCTAACTTGAAATGACAAAAAAAAAAAAAAAACTGCATGCACGGGCCGCGTGCCGCGGGCTCAAGCCCATTCCCGAGACTGCTGCTGTAGAACTCAAGAAATTTCGTTGGGCATAGAAGGGCGATCAGGAGGGCGGAAACGCGGGACTATGCCGCAGAAAGAAAGAGCTTTTAGAATGCCGGAGAGTGTGCCGAATCATGCGAGAAATGATGACCTGTCGAAGGGAGATTTCCGCTCTCGTCCCCTGTACCCGACATCATGGCAGGCGAGGGCAACGAAGATCATCGCAAGGTTCCGGTTCGAAATTAGCTATCATATAAATAGACCCACATGACGCTATCGACAGCAGCGCAGCGATTCCCACCCTTATCGCTGTAGGTGATCTGAAGCCGTCATCTCCCAAAAATGACACAGCGAGCGCAGGGAGAATGCACCTAAATAGTAGTGCCCTCTACCGAAACTCAACAACTACACGTGCGACATTAAATGGAAACACGTAGATTCCGTACGTCATACAGGCAACAAACGCGTTTAACCGTGCAATCGCTGTTCCTACGAAATCGAGCTACACAACTGCTGTGTGCTTGTGAAAATACGCACTGCCGGGAGCTGTCCGCTCTACCTTACCCTCCCCGCGTACACACGACTCCATACCTACAGCGCCCCCTCTACAGGCAAAAACAAACACACCTAGCCAGGTTCTCCTAGCCAACGAAAAGAGCTACCTTTGGTGTCAACATTGCTGCGTGGATGTACGGTGAAAAAGCACGAGTGCAGTAGATCGCGTTTATCAACCCGCTGACTAATAGCCACACCGCTACAGCTTCCCCAGAACTTGGTAGAACCGCAAAACGGGCACGAGCGACAAGACTTGCACAAACCCACGCGCGAAAACAGCCCGCTCAGCTCCGAAGCTCGAAGCATGCCATCCATACACCGGGCGATGTGGCGGCCCGGTGCCAAGATCCGCCTTGGACCGGGCGCACTCCAATCCTGTAGCGGCTACGTCGCCGAGCACGAAGAACCAACAGAAGTCTTCCGCGACGCCTTCGTACGGACACAAAAGAGCTAACAGCCAATGACTCGAGCGTCATGAGTCGTGATGACCAATGCGCCACCCTCCCTCCCGTCATCCACAGTAGTACACACCTACTACACAAGTTAACTCGCCGGAAAAAAAACATAAGAGAGTGTGCGGGGAGAAGTCGAGAACTCACGCGTAGAAAAGCAGGACACCAACCACGAAATGAACAACATGCAACCATGAACGACCCTCTTCCCCTTGGCGGCGCCCCCCGTCCGCGAAAGTGCAGACTACCACCACCACACAACACACATAAAAATGCTGGACACAACCCCGAGTTTACGATGTCCTCACACATGAAAAAGCCGGACACAAACCTAAGAGTCATGATGCCCCCCTTATCGGAATAAACGTACCGGTACCAAAACCCACACACAACGGGCATCGCCACGACCATGGGCGTCACCCACACACCGGCTGTACTACCGTCTCCTATCTTTCTTTCCCTTCTTCCCCTTCTTGTTTTTTTGCGGGGCCGCCGCATCACCCGCCTTTCCCACTCCCCCAGCGCCGGCCCCGCCCCTTAACCGTCCCCCAGTCCCCGCTGCCGCCGAAAATACGGGGCTGAAACCGTTGTCACCCCCGACGGAGCCAGCGCCGCGGCCACCGCCGCCTTGCTTCTCGTTACGCTTGTCCTCCATCTTGAACTCCGCCAGCATGTCCTTCACCGACATGGACGCCTTCTCGTCGGTTGCCAGGGGGGTTCGTCAAGGGGACAGTAGCGCAGGGAGGGAGGGGTATGTTTGTTTGTCTTGCTGGAGATCGTTGACATCTAACAGGTGCGCAAAAAAAGCACCAAGGCAAACAGGACGGCGAGGAAATAACAACGCACGCGTGGCGACGGAGCAGACGCGTGGGGGGCGGGGCTGCGTGTGTCTTGTGTGGGTTCGCGCCGCCGTATTGCACCCTTTACCAGGCGCCCATCATCCTCTCTCCACCCTTCCCGTGACGATTATACTTTCTTGCTCGCGCTCCACCGCTCGCCTCGCGAAATCTGTTGTTCAAACGAACAAGCTATCTTGCTCCATAGCTTAAGCCATCCAAAAAGTACATCAAGCGTCCATGCCTGAAGGCTGGGCACGTTGATATCGTCCAACACACGTCGTAACCGACGTAGCTTCCCGCCGGACATTTTTTATCGAAGGGGCATTGAAAACGCGTCACAATACTTGCAGTGTATTCAAAGCCGGGGTCACACCGGACGAAGTGTCATCAATCGCCGCAACATTCCGCCCTGTCCCAGCTCTCACCATGGCTTCCAGCTCCGGGTGTTTGGTGGGATCCGGCATCATCGTCCCGTCCACGTTTACCATACCGCTCGACTGGCCGTACTCCATCATCGCCCTGTTTAGGTGCACGTGTTTCGCAAAAACAACGACGATTCATCCAAGAAACCACCGTAGCGATCACGAGGGAAATGACGATTGAGACCAAGAGACAACAACAGTCGGGTTCGTGGAAGGGTCGTAGTTGCTACTTCGCGTGTACGGCGTCATCTGTACGCCTGCTTGATTGCTCGGAAAACAGGTGTGCACATGCCGAAGCGTGTGCTGAACTCACTTACGCCAACCACCCTTGGACGGCCAACGGTCCAACCCCGCCAATGGATAACGATATGGCAAGAATTACCACCTACTGTAACTCGTCAACCTACCGTAACTTGTGCCAAGTTACGCGAAAAGAGCCTGCGCCCACAGCCAGGCAAATATGCTCACAATGTTCCTCTGGAATCATGACTGCGTCAACCCGTTCCAACAGACCGAGCTATCCCGGCTCGCGACCCTTTCCTCGAACCGCAAGGAACTGGTGAAAACTTGACATAGCTAGAAACAAACTGAAAAATCTCGTATAATCAAAACCAAGGATCCGTATGCTTGCTCCCGTCGAGCTCCCTGGATGTTTCAAGACATGCGCTCATACTGACGGAAGCATTTGCCAACTGTTCAAATAGTTGTTTTCTTCATCGCTCACTTATAGGCCGGGGATTCCTTCAAATCTTGTTGCAGCTTGTTGAAGAGGTCGACGTCCTTGGTAAGGGCGGATTCCTGCTCCTCCACAGCAGCGAGGTCCGAGTAGATTCTGCAGAATATCCAAAACAGAGGGTCAACACAAGTAAGAGACCACTACAGCTCGGGCCCGGAGATGAGAAACGTCAGAATATCGGGTCAAGCCTAAGATTATATTTTCACCGCCACTGCTGTCAAGCAGAGGTTGATATGTTGACTTTCGTCAGGATTCACCGCTGAGCTGCGATTCTTGAAAAATTTCTCTTTTCATGAAAATTTGAGACTCGGCTTCTCGACAAAATATTTCTCACTGCCGGTACTGTCGCACACACAAGCACAGATTACGGCGAAGACGACTGTCCGACCACAAAACAGTATACCGCACCAATAACACGGAAGTGAGGGAAGACGTTTCTTCGATGTCAGGCGCATGGAGAAAAAACAACCGTGATCGCACGGCAACACCAACAAGGATAACAGCAACGGTCCTCCGTGAAGTCGGGCAACACCACCGCAGCACGCAACCAACGACAAAAACAACTACCCTACTTCAACACCAACAATAGTAGCAACAACGGAAGATCCTGAGGCCCACTCACCACTACCGTCATAAACAACAGCAGCAGCAGCAGCAGCAGCAGCAGCAGCAGCAGCATTAACATTAACCACGACAACAACCAAAATCCTTGCTTACCGCTGTACGCGTGCGCGAGGTGCGTGCTTTAGCAAGGAGGACAGGACGCTGTGGCGCCTCCGGAGGTTCGAGNTCTTGTGGTGCGCATACCCTAACCTTCCTTCTAGGGGGTGACGTGCTGTGTAGATACGCCCTGAAGAGAGTCAACAGGAAAAAATGAGCGGGCCAGAGGGCACGACATTCCCCAACCAGCAGTGTGACCTAAAATAGTGCTGTTTTAACAACATGATGCTCTTCGGCTGGCTGTGCTATGTTTAGGCTAAATAGCTCAAACGGCTGACAAACGTCCAGACTCTACAACACACACGTTGTTGGTGGTGATGCCTCGTGGTGTGGGCCATCGCTACATCTGCACGCACGGCAGAGTCAACATCCTCGCGCACCTTCCGTCGCAGCCTCAAGCGGGATCAGGTTCGTTGACCACCTCCTCCCGGTACACCTTCAAGAACCCCTCTACAACCGTCGTCATGCCCGACGCCTCCAGCACCACGCCCACCTCTTCCTGTTTCCGTGGAAGGTCGTAAACGCCGTCGTTGATTAAATCAAGGTCAGGGTTGTAGGCGTTGTGGTTAGGCAAACCTGTTGTTGCTGTTGTTGCGCATGGTAACGGTCCAAGCGGTGGTTGTTACTGTTGCTTACAGAAAGCGAAGACCCGGCATATCGCTCCACCGTGCCGGCATTGAAAGGATGCAAAGGTCTTACGACTACGGCATGGTACTTTTCAGATGAGTACACACCCCCTACACTTGCGTACCTCGCCATCCCCCAGAGAAACGCCTCCCGCACCTAGCGAAACCGTCGTCAAGTCCGCCTCCGACTCCGCCATGGTGCTGGCCAGCGTCCGTCGGTACACCAGGTCGTACAGCGCCCTGCGCTGCTCCTCCAAGCCGCGGCCGCCGCCTCCTCCACGGGGAGCTCCGTACCGTAGGGTGCAACAACCTCCCCGCGGTGATCGTAGTAAAACTAGCGGAGGCTGATCCAGCCCATGACCCCGCTTGCTTTCAGTCGGGAGTGTCGGTCGCGGCCGGTACTGCGCCGATTACTTGTAGGGCAGGGCGGATGGCCTCGTGCGCCTCTTGGCTGCCCTTGACCTTGACAGCCTTGGCGTCCCCTTCGAGGCAAGAGGGAAAAAAAGAAATTTTCCACGGCAGCGGGGGGGTCAACGGAGGAAGCACACGTGCCAGTAAGGACAGCGGTGTGAGCGGCAAGCGCAGGTGCCCAAAATGCCTTGCCTATCTGAAATTGTGTCTGGCGGCGGGGAGGAGGGCGGGGGCATGCTCGCCCATCGTCATCGTGACATCGCAAAACAAGGACAGAAGACAGATAGACAGAGAGAGAGACCTAGAGAGAGACGCCTGCAGACGATATGCAGAGAAAGAACGGAATAGTGTGTGCGTGTGTGTGAGAGGGAGAGAGAGAGCAGGAAAACGACCACACGCAAAAGAAAATTAAGGCCGACGTCGAGAGACGAGGAAAACGCTAAATAATCAAATCAAGCCCCTGTTCAATCGTTGTCGCTTCTTACCTTCCGCACGTACTCGTCGCCAAAGAAGTCTCTCACTGCACCCTAAGCCACCCCGGCGGCCTCCTTGCTCAGGCTGGGTCTGGCCGTGCGCATGTAGGTGATGGTCATGTACCCTGCCTCATACTTCTAGTGTACAGCGCCTGAGACGCCGAAAAAATGCGCAAACGTAAGGAAAAGTGAGAAACAAAAACAAAAAGTAAGCAAAGCTGTGAATATCCGAAACCGTACCAGCACCTTAGTCCTGATTGCGGCGGAACAGGGGCTGCAAGATCCCGCGAAAACAGCTAGCTTGAGGAATGGACCAAGAAAAATGACAAGCAAGGCAGGTCAACTCCACACCATTCATGCTATTAATAGACGCGATGCCATACAGTAGCACTAGCAGCCTCGCTGGCCCCAGCATTGCAAGGAGGCCATGTGCATATCTACGGCACTACGCAACGACTGTGCGTCAAACGCTCGTTGAGTACACCCCCCAAAAAATAAACACACCGTCACCCTTGCTCACGTTCGCCGCCCTCATGGTCTGATCCACTCCCGGCCGTAGCTTTCGGCTCGACCCCTGGTGCAGCGTGGACGTGTTGAAGGGCGCCGGGGGCTGCCGCCTGACCCATCTCTTGTCGACCTTGACCACCTCGAGGGGCGACAGTTACGCCGCCACGGCATGCCCTTGACCTTGACAGCCTTGGCGTCCCCTTCGAGGGAAGAGGGAAAAAAATAATTTTTCCACGGCAGCGGGGGGGTCAACGGAGGAAGCACACGTGCCAGTAAGGACAGCGGTGTGAGCGGCAAGCGCAGGTGCCCAAAATGCCTTGCCTATCTGAAATTGTGTCTGGCGGCGGGGAGGAGGGCGGGGGCATGCTCGCCCATCATCATCGTGACATCGCAAAACAAGGACAGAAGACAGATAGACAGAGAGAGAGACCTAGAGAGAGACGCCTGCAGACGATATGCAGAGAAAGAACGGAATAGTGTGTGTGTGTGAGAGAGAGAGAGAGAGAGAGAGAGAGAGAGCAGGAAAACGACCACACGCAAAAAAACAGTAAGGCCGACGTCTGAGAGACGAGGAAAACGCTAAATAATCAAATCAAGCCCCTATTTAACCGTTGTCGCTTTTTACCTTCCGCACGTACTCGTCGCCGAAGCAGTCTCTCACTGCACCGTAAGCCACCCCGGCGGCCTCCTTGCTCAGGCTGGATCTGTCCGTGCGCATGTAGGTGATGGTCATGTACCCCGCCTCATACTTCTAGTGTACAGCGCCTGAGACGCCGAAAAAATGCGCAAACGTAAGGAAAAGTGAGAAACAAAAACAAAAAGTAAGCAAAGCTGTGAATATCCGAAACCGTACCAGCACCTTAGTCCTGATTGCGGCGGAACAGGGGCTGCAAGATCCCGCGAAAACAGCTAGCTTGAGGAATGGACCAAGAAAAATGACAAGCAAGGCAGGTCAACTCCACACTATTCATGCCAGTAATAGTGTGGATGTCATACAGTAGCACTAGCAGCCTCGCTGGCCCCAGCATTGCAATGAGGCCATGTGCATATCTACGGCACTACGCAACGGCTGTGCGTCAAACGCTCGTTGAGTACACCCCCCAAAAAATAAAAATTTACACACCGTCACCGTTGCTCACGTTCGCCGCCTTCATGGTCTGATCCACTCCCGGCCGTAGCTTTCGGCTCGACTCCTGGTGCAGCGTGGACGTGTTGAAGGGCGCCGGGGGCTGCCGCCTGACCCATCTCTTGTCGACCTTGACCACCTCGAGGGGCGACAGTTACGCCGCCACGGCCGACGCTTCCTCCGAATCGAGAAGATCCTACGACAAAAACAAAAAAAGACAGCAACACATGCGTACATGAATGACAGCAAAAATAAGAAGGGTACATGACTGAGGGAATGACAACAGATAGAGAAGAGTTGTAGTTCGTGCGTACCACGATTGGTCAGCGACGAGGAGAGGCAACGAGCCTTCAAGCAAAAGCCGGCAGGGAGGTGCACTCACGAGCTTGGAGGCGTCGAGCTTGTCCTTCATCTCCCCCGTGTCTGGATCGAAGTCTTTGCCCGTCACAACGGCCGTAGACCCCACCTCCACCAATCGGGCATCGAAACACCCACATCCCCCCCCCAAAAAAAAAGTTTGTTCAGGGCGCGCATCCACAGCATGTGCACGTTCAACTTGACTGTTCGTTGCTACCAAGAACAAACAACCTACCAAACACAACACACCGCAACGACTTAAAGGAAGCACACGACCTCCGAGCTGACGGGCACAAAGCGAGAACAACAGTTGCCCGGTGAGCACCACACGCGACAAATGGCCGGGGTCAGCTTTGGTCCTGCCCGGGGCGAGGAAAAGGGCACCGAGAGAAGCCAGCCGGGATGAAACACCAAACAACGACAGCAACAACAACGAAAGCACGACACAAACAAAACAACAAAGACAACGACGGCAACAGACAATGACCACAACAGCAATCGACAACAGCAAGGCCAGCAACAACCGTTGCGCGAATCAACAACAACAACAACAACAGCGACGCCTGAACCATGCAAAGACAAAAAACAAAGAACCAGCACGGAGCACCTGCAACAATTGCCAGCTGATGGCCTCCCCCTCTCGGTCCTCGTCGGTGGTACTGCAGGATTACCTCGTCGACTTCGCCGGGGCCTTCTTGAGCCGGGTGGTGATCGCCTTCTTCTTGGGGTTCTGGATGTACAGCGGCTGCAATTCGTTCTCCTGAAAAATCGACGGGGCGGCGTGCCACAAGGCAATGGGGTGACGAGGGGGCGGGGAGGAGCGGTCACGTTGTTAATTGTCTTGCAGTGCTGCTGCTGCTGCTGCTGCTGCCGTTGCTGCTGCACGAGGCCAGACAACAACAACCTATTCCACGTTCACCCTGGCTTCGCCAACAATACTGATAACAACGAAGACTACGACTGCAACAACAACATCAACAACAACAACTTAGCCCCCGGCCTGCTTCATATACTGAACATATACTCCTCGCGCCACAAGCGTGCCCACCACCATCACCACCACCGTACCATCGCCGCTACTTCTCAATCACCAACACATGTCAAACAACAACGCAGAAAACATAAACGCGCACCTCGTCCTCGCCAACCACATCCCAGCCCTTGGTCTTCTCCTTCTTGGTCTTCTCCTTCAGCTCGACCAGCACATCCCTTCTCTTGCCGACCAGGTCCGTCACGTCACCGTTGCGGGCGTCTACGGTGCGACCTTCGTACAGCTCCCCTCCACCGCCGCCTCGCCGCCAGCGGCGGCCTTCTCGAGGAGCTCCGTGATTGTCCTAGTCTTAGCCGGGGACTCCACGATCACATCACCAGGGCTCCCTTGGAACCCTCCAACTTGGCGGTTGCAGGCTTGCTCTTCTTCTTCTTCGCGCCAGCCGCAACCTCGACCTTTGTTGCAGCTGAAACAGGAGTCGTGGACGAAGCGGCCGCCATGGAAGGTTGCGAAAACACCGCCGTCCTCGTACTGCCGCCGCCTGCCGACAGGCATTACAGTGCTAACCCTCGCCGCTGTTGGTGGTGTTGCTGGTGGCGATAGTGGGTACGGTAGCAGAGAGAGCCCCACCAAGCCGACCACAAAGACCGCAGCGTCAAGGCCCCGCACGGGTGACGTCAGGCCGCCTACGCCTACACCGAACCTGGGGCGGTCAGGAGACATACCGAGAGCACCTTCACACACACGGCGGCAAAAGCGAACAACGACGTGTTCCAAGAAATGCAACAAGCAGAGCAGCCGCGACAACGGACAATTATGTTTTGAAAACCGGCTGGCTGTCGGCGTTCTACTCTCTCTCTCTCTCTCTCTCTTGGTTCTACCATCTGCGTATAACCCACAAGGATGAAACAACGGCTGAGCGACCGGGAGTGCTGCCACCATGAAGCGGAGGGGCTACACATGTTGCGCGAAATTCGTGACCAACCTAAACATGCTTCGAAGCTGTTGACAACAGGTTCAAATATACTCGCTGGTGACATTATTCTGGTTTTGCCGGTGCTGTTGCCGTTAGCACAAAAACCGCCCCATGCACATGATATGCATGCATCTGAACGGCACCATGTACGTCTTACGCATGTATCCGAACGGCTGCTCGACGAATGACTACTGCTGTGTTTGAATCACTCGGGGGCAGCAAGCGCTGGCGGGCGGGGAGGGGGGTGGTACCTAACGTAGGTATGAGCATGTTTCACAGCAGTTCCCATACCACTGCAACCAGCAATGCGTCTTGCGCCATTACGCTATCACGGTTCCTCATACTACATTTACACCAGCGANGTTCCCATACCACTGCAACCAGCAATGCGTCTTGCGCCATTACGCTATCGCGGTTCCTCATACTACATTTACACCAGCGATGGTGGTGTTCGTTCAACACACAGCCGCATTATGAGCAGCAGAAACGGCTTGTTCGATGACAATACAGAGCCGGAGCAGTTGCTGCTGCTGTACATGCTGTTGCTGCAGCAGTAGTCTACATGTCGAACACATAATTCTTACCGGTGCTCTCCACCGCACCGCCACCGCACCGCTTCTTCTCCCGACCCGCGATAGCAGCAGTATCGAAGAGCCCGGAGCAATCCAACCTTGCCCACTACCGCTCCTCAACTTCCTCAAAGCGAATGCGATAAGCAGCAGCAGCAGCGGCACCCTGACCGCCGCAAGACATCTTGAAGGACACCGGCTCGATGTACCTACTTGACATGGGTCGGCTCTGCCGCTGTGCTGCTGTTGCTGACCAGTACACAACACCTCCAGCATCCCTCTTTTCTTCTCCTCACAGGGGATGGAGACGTTGGCGGTCGGTTGGAGTTGTAGTGGGGAGTAGCGGCAATGCACTGCTCTGGGTGCTCGGGCTGCTGCGCCCGGCTGTATCATGGTATCCGGCGCGCAGAACGGTCTGGAGATACATACCCCTACTCTCCACCCGACTGTTGGATGTACGGGGCCACCGACCACCACCAAATGGCGCACTCAGCACACACACGACCTTTCGCACGGCAGGCGATCAACAATCATTACTAGGGCGCGCATTGTGCTCAAAATCGACGGGATCCAGCTCCACCGCCCGTCCACCGCGCCTGCCAATCGAGCGTGCTACAATAAATATTGGTAAGCGACTGAGGAGAGATTCCGGGTTTCTTCCGAACCTTGGATGCATTCCTCCAGCAGCGGCCTGGCTCACGCATTTGTCGTAGACTGGCGTGGGGCACAGCAGTAGGGCACAGCCGACGAATTTGGGAAACAGGAAGATATGTGCCATGCACCCAACAGAAGTTCGGCGCGTCGCGTTGCAAGCTGCAACGTGATATTATTGCTTTGTCCAACGATTGTTTTCCTTTCCGCGTTATTTTCTTCCACCAAACACGAGACGGAGCATGCCGTCCACTCTGAGACGAAGTGGGTAGCACCTCAAAACGAAAAGCATCGTTCAAGCTAGATGGCTGCGCCATAATTTTGATGCTGCACAACACAGCAGCTGCTGCTGTCCGTAGCATCGCTCAAACTGGC